CGGAGCGGCTTGAGCGTCGGGTTGGGGGGGTTCCTAGTGCCCGGGGGCGCCGGGGCTGTGGAGGCGCGCGGGGCGGGACGAGTAGGGGGCTTGGAAGAGAGGGAGGTAGTGCGGGTGAGAGTGGGACGGCTCGTGGCGGGGGTCTTGACGGATGCAGCAGATGGCGGGCGCGAGACGGTAGGGCGTGAGCCGGTGCCACTGAAAGATTGACGGGAGGAAGAGCGGCCGGGCGCGGATTGCGATGAGGGCTGGCGGACTGCGAAAGATGATATGTCAAGGTTTAGTACGCATATAGTCGCGTTGGTAGTACTTACACATGAATGAGGACGGCGGGGCAGCTTCCTTCTGCTGTCGGAGCGCTGCGCTCCTATTGAGCCTTGGTGCAACGGTAGGCGGTCGGACGCTCGCCACCGCGATGGTTTCCCTCCTTTTGTGTCCGGGAACGCCATCGAAAGTCGCCTTCGGGTCCTTCACAACGGTGCCATTGCTCAATGGTGTCCGTTTAGGCTTATCCTCGGGTTTGATTCCCAGCCTCAATGACGCGGCGCGCGTCATGCGCGGGGCGACTACAGGAGGAGCCGTCGATGCCACGGTGATCGTTTCCGAGCGCTTGTGCCCTGGGACGTTCGCAAATGTCTGCGCAAGGCGTTCTTTGGTTGGTGGGGCGCGCTTAGGGGTCTCGATGGCGATGCCTGCGCGGAGTGCCGCGGCCTTGGACATACGCGGGACGATGTCCGGGGCGGCATGTGTCGCTGGGAGCGCGCGCGCCTTGAACCCCAGCTTGTTCGTCCCATTCGCAGACGTTCCTGCGGTGGAAGAGGCGGCGTACCCGTTATCAGAGCGGCCGTTTCTGAGGGCGGAGAGCACAGAAGATGAGACGGAGCGGAGGGAGCCCGCGGGGACGTTGTCGTAGTCCGGGTGGCCGACCTCGGGGAGCTCCACCGTGGGGAAGGGCGGCGAGGACGCGAATATGGTCTGGATCTGCACCTCGGCCATCTGCGCGTCGGTGGAGCCCATGACGGCGTTTTGGGCGGCGGAAATGCCGTAGAGGGCGCGAACGGAATTGGGGGTATCTTTGCGCGCGACCTCGGGATCGGGGTCGCCCATGAGCGAATGCCAGACCTCTACGGCACGCCTACGCTCGAGGACGTATACCCACACGGGGCCCCTGAGCGTTGTAGGATAGGAGAGGGAAAGGGGAAGGCAGGTTAGTCTAGAAGCGTGAGCGAACAGGGGCGCAGGGACTCACTCTGCGAAGGATTCGTAGTCGCTCCCGAACAGCTCAAAGAGCGTGTCAGGGTCAGTATCTACATCGAATTCCATCTGCCTCTCCTTCACGATCTACATGACGCGACTTGGTGAGCATGATCTCTGGCGCGGCAGGGTCGAGCCTAGGAGGCAAGACGGTTCGCGCACCTCGAAGCCCGCGTCGGATATGCGCAGCTCGATATCGAATCTGTGGTTGAGCGCATGGTTCTTGATAATGGCGACCGTGCGCGTAGAGGGGGAAACAGGGCTAGAATCGATCTCTCCGGGAGCCTGGGTGGGGGAAGAAGGAACGGACATGTCTTGGAGAAGGCGGGAAGGAAGGAACGGGAGAGGACTAGGAACTTGAAGGGCGAACTATGGACACGGCGTCGAGCAGAACGAGAAGCAGGAAAGGCGAGAACTCAGACTCTTGTTTAAAGGAAAGCAGGGTGAACGGAAAGGCCCCGGGAGAGAGACGGAGGATTCTTATGTTCAAGTTGGACGTTCGAGTTGAAGGACTTGGGTCCCTGCGAGCCTGCCCGACCCGCTGATCTCGACTCCAGGCGCATCGTGTCTGCACGGACCCCGGACACGTCTCCGCCGCCCCTTTACACCCCTCGTCGAATATTCCCTCCCATGTGCTCCTTGGCCCCTCATGCCAGCATTCAATTATACCTCTCCTGCACGAATTCCTCTCGATGCTCCGAGGTCGAGTATCCCGACTGTTCGGACCACTTCGCGCGGTAAACCGCACGTCTTTGAACTTGGGACCGAGCGCGTTTAGACGCGTGACGTCACGCTCACACCTCTCCTTGACGACCCGGCGTCTCCTCCAACCTCGTCTTCGCGTCGCTTGTTTCGCCGCGTCTCGGTCCCGACTTTCGACCCTTCTGCTGCTGCCTTCAAAATACACCGTCTTTATGCCTTGGCCTACCATGAACCGATAGAACATTCGACCCACAACGTTCAAGGTACTGCATTGAATGAATGGGTGAATGAATGGGGAATGAGAGTGAGGGAGGTCTGGGTCTGTAATGAAGGAAATCCTCCTGTTGTCTTGTGGTCAAGTTCATCAGTAATTCAAACCGTGTTCACGAATCTCAGGACTGATATGGCGCAAGCACTCATCAAATACCTCATCTTGCTGATTATCCGCTGTAGCGACAAGGTAAAATGCTTCTCTGTATGGTCCCGCTTTCTCGACACTGCCCCGTATTCTCTTATTTGCAGGGCCATAGATTATCACCGACGAGGCACAATGGAGGGCGTATTCGCGTTCTTGGGTTGGGGATACGACTGCTGGTGATAGTAGACCTATAGGTAGGGTAGACTCTGGTCGTAGCTCTTGTGCGTGAAGCACCCCCTTGTTGGGCCTGTTCTTATGGACAGTCTGTCGGCGCGAGATGTCCTCATGTTTATACGGAGTATGCATATATTTCGACAAACGACTCCTACGACCTGAACCCAGATTTGCAAAATACACATATGTATAGAAGGCGTACCATGAATCTTGGGGACTCAATGAGCCCCACCCCCTTCTGGGTGCTGCGTCATTATACCTGTTCGTACGCAATGCAAATGTCGTCGGTGGTAATTTCTGCAGGCAGTGAACGGCGGGAAGAACGTCGTGCCCCACCGCCTCTGCGGGGCGCGATGGCGCGGACGCGGAGCGAATTAAGGGGTCTCGTGACCGGGGACTGGGGCTCGTCCTGGCGAGCGTCTGCGGCGCGGGCATGCAGATGTTACTCACCGCCGACCACCACGTTCTCCCGAAAGCCAAAGTTCCAGGATCGCATCCGCTGCCGCTCACGACGTCCGCATCCTCTCTCTCGTTAATCCTTCCCTCTCGGCCGCCATGATTGCCCGAACGCATGCACGCAGACTCCCCACCCTCGTCGCTCGTTCGCTCTCCACAGAGACTGCGGCATCGTCCGGCCCTCAACCCCCGCCTCCGCCCCCGCCCTCCCAGTCCAAGCATTCGACCGCCAAGCCGCTTTCCCGCACTCGGCTGAACCCTGCGCCTCGACCCGCTACCCCGCATAGACACCAGGTCCTGGCGTCGCTGCCGCCCTCGTTCGGCCGAAACCAGTTTCTGCCCGTCGCGGACTCGACGCGTGCGCTCCTCGAGAGCATCGTTGCCAAGTTTGAAGCTCCCATCCGGTATGCCTTTGCCTACGGGTCCGGCGTGTTCGAGCAGGATGGGTATACGACCAACAACCCTGCGTCGCAAGATGGCCCTATGCTTGACTTCATGTTCGCGGTCACGCACGCGGACCATTGGCATTCAATCAACATGCACCAGTTCCCTGGGCATTATCCTTTGGGTGCCCGAATGTTAGGGTCCTCATTTGTCGCGAAAGTAGAGGAAGTTCCCCCAGGAGTATGGTTCAACTCCATGGTCACGATGGATGGAGTGGTATGTCCCCCTTTGTACCCAAGGACAAGTAGCAGAAACTCATTCCCCGCGAATAGACGATCAAGTACGGAGTGACCACTGTCGACAACCTTTGTTCGGACCTGCTCAACTGGAAATCACTCTACCTCTCTGGACGCATGCACAAGCCCATCCGTATTATCAAGGATGACGCGCGGGTGCGGCTCACGCAGCAAGTGAATCTCACCTCCGCGGTCCGCACCGCGCTCCTCACACTCCCGGACTCGTTCTCCGAGCGCGAGCTCTTTGAGCGCATCGCCGGCTTCTCGTACGGGGGCGACGTGCGCATGCTCCTCCCCGCGGAGAACCGCGGCAAGGTCGGAAATATCGTCCGCAAGCAGGCGCCGCAGTTTAAGGAGCTCTACCACCGGCTCGTGGTCGCGCTCCCCGGCGTGCATTGGCCCGCGTACTCCGCAACCATCCAACAGGACACGACCCCGCACGCGCGGGCGGCGCACCTGAGGAAGCTCCCCTCGAATCTGCTCACCAACGTCACGGGTCACTACGCAGGACAGTCGTCCCTCCCCTCGAGAGAGGCGGACGAGACCGTGTACTGGACCAAACTCGCGGGCGACGCCGGGCTGCCGACGGTGATTGAGCAGGGTACGCGCCTATTCCCCGCGCGCTGATTGGTCACGGTCTCGCGTGCTGATTCACGGTCTACCTTCTCTCTCCAGAGTTGCACAGGATCGTGCGGTACCCGTCGGCCGTGCAGACGCTCAAGGGCGTTGTCAGCGCAGGCCCCGCGAAGAGCCTCCGCTACTCGGCGCAGAAGGTCGCGAAGTGGTGGAAGGGCAGCGGTGGGGGCGCCACGAAGCCATGATGCTCTCTGCCCAACGTCCATCGCCCGTTGCTGGAAAGGCATGCATGTCGGTGCACTCGTGCAGGTCGCGACTCGCGGCGGATCTCCTTCCCCCCGGATTAATCATTGGCAAGGCTCGGCCCACAGTCCATTCACCGACTTCATCGCGTCCGTGCGCCGGCCACACACCTATTTCATACGGTATAATAGCTACACTTAGACCATTTGGCTGCGACGGTACGGCCTAGTCTGGCATCTGTATCAATATTATTACGCATTGCAGATACATACACCACTTGCTCCGACTATCTGTTGACCCGTCAGTAAAACGTTAACTGGTTGAGGTTACCCTACAGTCTTCGTGGCCGACTGCGTCTCAGCCCGACAATTTAGACAAGTCTGACATCAAGGCCGGCGTTACCGCGACGTGAATTGATGCGTGTTACGAGTATGTAGACTAAGCACTGGCAAGCCAGTAGGAAATCATAAGAATTTCTCAGAAAATACCAAAAGTAATCCTTCGAACCGGGATCGAACCAGTGACCTTGAGATGTTCCAGGTTAACCATTACAGTCTCACGCTCTTCCAACTGAGCTATCGAAGGTTGTGTAACGTAGAGTTCTGCTGGATTATGAGCGTGTTGAGGTGAAACGGGGATCAATTCCAGAGCCCCACACAGGTGCCACCCACCGTAACCCACGAGGTTCTGACTGGGTATCATAATCCCCGTCTGCTGTGTAGCTCCCAAACAGCAATCACTTTATGCCCGCGTTAATGGCTCTGTTCTACACCCCAATACCATACATATGCCAGGGTCCCCTGGAGTTATGCTGGTAGGATATAAGCTACCACTGTACAGGCTTAGGCCTTAAATGTCTAACAGGGGCATTTGGTCACAGTCCAGGTATCAACAAACCGCATACATCACACGCGACATGAACAGGAGCCCATTTCAGCAAGCCGTAGGTGAATCGACAGGTAATAAAACAGGGCCTGAACATACTGTACAAAGCGGGTAACCCCAAGTGTAGCCTTCACCGTTCCCCCCGAGGGCTCCGGCTCCGACTGTCACTGCGATAGCGCTTCCTCCTGGGGCTCCTGCTGCGTGAGCGCGAGCCTTCTGAGGAGTCTGATTCCGAATCGCTGCCAGACGACTCTGAATCGTTCGAACCGCTCGAACTGTCCGAGTCAGAGTCGCTGTCCGATGAGGATGAGGATACGGATCCCGACCTATGATTATGAGTCATCAGAGAGTGAGAACACATAGAGGAAATCCATCTTAATGCGCACCGTCTACGCTTCTTAGACGTCCCTTCTCCCTTGCTCGTCAACGTTTCACTTCGTTCTTTCTCCTTCGCTTCCAATATACGATTTGCAGTTCCACTCCTGTCGCAGATGGTCAGTGATGCGCAATGCAGCGGGACAAAGAACACGAACGCACTTTGACTTGAACTCTTCTGGGACCTCCACGGAGGGTTTGCCCTCCGCCTTGAGCTTAGCAAGCACCTTGGGGTTCTCAAGCATCTTCGTACGCGACGGACGGGTGATATACGGACGGGTTGATTTGCATTCGTAGATGAAATGTCCTGGCCACGAATTCACACTCTAATCAACTCATGCTCCGCAAGCAGACAATCTAGAGGAAAGTACGCACCTGTGCCCAGGCATTTTTGGCAGACTGTGGACGCAGTGGCGCGGGGTTGAGCACTGGACCTGTGGTGTGGCGCGTACTTAGACATTACTCCGGGGTAGAAGGGAGTCGGGATAAGTCTGCAGGATACAAGGAAGGAGAGTGATCCAAGGGAGAGAGGAGGAGGTATAGTACTGGGCCAGGGTGGCGTTGAGATGTTCAACGCTCAACATAAACTCAAATTAGTTGATATAACAAGGACTATGTTACCGGGTTGTAGCCAGTAACTGTTATATTAGCAGCCGAAAAGTAACGTCACAAACCTTGCATATTAACGGCAATATAATGTCCAGGGCTGTGCCTTCATGACGCCGATTGCCCCGCTGGCGGCGCAAGCGAGTCAGCACAAGTCCCAATTGTGAGCGCAGCAGCCACAAGATTCGAATCCGAGTGTCAGGACGACTCATATCTATTGCACACCTACCGCTGACATGCCGCATTAAGCTGCAGCATTGTATATATATATATGCCGTCTGGATGTCTGGGAACCCGCATCCTGCCCTTCTCCCTCTCCCTCTCCATCACGTCTCTCTGCCAGTCACTAACAGTCCAGCCAGTTTCGACGCCTTCCTACCAGACCAACAAGTATGGGTGGAAACGCCTTTAAAACTGTCGTTCCCGACGCGACCTTCCCGCGCATGCCGCCCGCCGTCTACTCCGCGCTGAAAGCCACACTTCTACCTGCTCTCGCGCCGCTGTACGAACATGTCATTGTGCCACGTGAAGCTCCAGAGAAAGCCGACTATGGCGACCTAGACTTCGTCGTCTCCGGGCCCCGTGAGGGCCTAACTCATGAGGAAGTCAAGGCATCTCTTCGCGCGTCGCATAGTGTCCGGATGGATGGTCCGCGCACGAGCAACTTCGCAATCCCGTTAGACGCATTTGAGGACGTCGCACGGGCGTGGCGAGACTCTCCCGCAGCAGACCATTCTACGGGTACGGGTGCTGCGGTACTCTTCCAAGTAGACGTGAATGTCTGCGCAGACCACGCCCAATGGGAGCGCACCGTCTTCCACCACTCATACGGCGACCTGGGACTCATCCTGGGACTGCTTGTGCAGCCCGCCGGGATGTCGCTGGGCATCTACGGCCTAAAGGTGAGCGGCCTTAAACGTGCAAATGCACCCGAAGGTATCTGACGAGGCGGCATTGGATACTAGTTGATCGACCCGGTTGGCTCTCCACTGCAAACGTTCTATCTTTCAACATCTATGTCGGACATCCTCAAATTCCTTGGGCTCGCCATGGAGCGATGGGAGAAAGGCTTCACGACGCAGGATGAAGTCTTCCATTGGATCGCGACGTCCCCGTTCGCCATCCCCTTAGCCGAGCGTCTTGAGGCACGCGACCCCCAGCTTTCTGCCAAGGGCAAAGTCGAGGCTCGTCCGATGCGCCAGCGATTTGTCACGTTCATGCAAACGCACGAGTTCTCACCACCGTCTACTCCCGAAGCATCTATTTTTGCGGCGTTGGGGAACAAGGACGCGAAAGTGCAGGAGGCGCTGCGGTACTTCGGTAAGGACAAGCAGCATGCAGCATATGTGTACGCATCCCGCGCGGCGAAGCGCGCGAAGGAGGTGCTGAACGGGAGGAATGTTCAAGAATGGACGGGCGTTATGGGTATGCCGGTGCGTTTCGTATTGGACGAGACGAAGGAGCGTTTGGCGGCGGGCCAGACATCTACGGGGATCCCGGACGGCAGCGAGGTACCGGCATGGCAGAGCTCCTTATTGAACATGTCGGACAACGAGGTGAAAGCCTTGGTCGTGAGCGTGAAGGAGGAGCTCGATGCTGCTGGAAAACTCGTCTTTGACTGGCAAGCTGCCAAAGCTGCGAAACTGGAGAAGCAGGGGCAGCACAAGGTTGGTGTGGCCGCTGAGATTGACGTACCTGTAGCACCCCAAGCAGTCAGTTTAATGTTCTGATCCACATGACGTCTAGGCTGTAACTCCTTAATCTCCATATTGTATACCAAGCTTAGTACGGTGAAGCCTCTACAATTAGTTACAAATGAATATCTATAGCATTGATACTTGTCCGCGGCCGGAATGGTGAGATTCGAAATCGGCATCTAGACCATAGATGAATATGAGATTGTACGTTGCCTGGGGGCGTTAAGGCTCGCCTTTCACGCCCGTATGCCAAATACCAGACTTGATCCTACCCGCTTCCTGTTGGGCGAGCCACTCGAGCACCGTGTCTACAACCACCTCGGGGATCTGTATACGGTAATTCAAAATCAACTTTATTTTTATGCGTGCGATCAAGTGCACGTACGCCAGTAAAGTTGTGGTCCGCTTCCTCAACAAGGCGGAGAGTATGGGTGCCTGGGCTCCGTGCCCCGTATACGCGCGCATATAATACTGCGTCGAACGGTGGCACGACGGCATCCAACAGACCGTGAAGGGTCAACACATCTGTGTGCGAGGGAAACTGGTCCCATGCAACAGAGGTGTTCACCGAGGCGAACTCGTCATAGTCCTCGCGGGTGACCCTACAAATTGTTAAGCCATCAAAAAAGAGGGCAGTAGACGTAACGAGGGAGTCCTGACTTTCCGACAAACGGCTTACGCGCAACGGTGGCTTTGCGCAGGGTGTAGCCATTTGCATTCAGTTCCGCCTCATGTTGCTTCATGTCGTCTAGGTTGATATGTCGAAGCACCGCTTATGAAATCACAATGCGAAGACTGACCGTACACTTTCTATGCGGTCTTGTCAGGAAAGCTTTCTATCAAGTTCGCGACGAAGGCACACCTCCATGCGGTACCGCCCGGAGACGTTCACGTATCCCCTCACGCTCTTCGCAGAGCCTTCGCGGTGTTTGCATATCCAAAGCAAGCTGACAACACTTCCACGCGAGTGCCCAACGACCAGGTCAACAACATATCCGAACGACTTCGAGAGATACTCGACGACAACTTCCAAATCTTCAACATCGTTGCTAAATCGTCCAAACTGCCACGGCCCGGATGTTTCGTGATTGCCCCTGATAGAATTTGAAACAGGGCTCATATGTAGCAACAAAAAAGGAAGAAGAGACATACCGGAAATCGAATCGGAATGAGTCTAGCGGGAGCCGGGCTGCAAGACGTTTTTGGAAGAGGTAATCCTTGTGTCTAATTGAACGATGGGATTGTTATATCGAATCTGGCAACCTTGGCGCGGCGGCTGAGTAGGCTTACCCTAAGGAACCATGTAGTATCTACTAACGCAGGGTCAGAATGATAGGGCATCGCTGAGGAGTAACACCACTGACCAATGCTACCTTCCGGCCCTGCGTAGGCTGTTCTGGAGCGATCTGCTCGAGCACGCCAACAATGGTGCAGTCTTTCTCAAGCGTGTGCGGGATAGCCAGCTTGGTCGTCTTCTGAGACGTCGCCGTCTTCGTGAGGGTCATCTTGCAGCTCACCTGCGCGCTGCTACGTGCTCAAGTGTGGTTGCCGGATAAAAGGTGGTGGTGGTGGTGGTGGGAGGACAGCCTGAGTGTTAGCATGTCGGAGTCCAAGTCCGGGGAATCCGGGGGAAAGAGCGTGCCCGAGCGGGGTCAAGACGAAATCACAGTGCGACGGGCCGGTGGCCCGGATAACCATGCGTGGGAATTCCCGTAGTTACACCAAGGCACCGTCTGGGCGTGGGCGTCTAATTGCTACTGTACGCTGCTCGACCATATGGAGGCTCTCTTGTTCAACGTATGTTTCTCTGATCTGTTCCTCTGCCCTTAGGCTCAGGCCGAGATACAGGTTTCTGGCGGGTTTTTGGAGGGCATAGTTCGGGGATACAAGGCTGGCCTCCTAACCCAGAACCAGTACAACAACCTCACTCAATGCGAGACGATTGAAGGTTTGTGTTCTTGGACGTGTCGTAGGCTCTGAGGGGTTCTTACGGAGTGATGGAAGATTTCCGGACCCAACTCT